CCTGGAAGTGGAACTGCCCAGAGGAAACACGACATTTTAGAGGTTCTTCATATTAGAAAGAATCGATCTTCTCTGGAATGCCAGCCTGACCCAAAGAGATGAAACAGGTGACAAACTCAACAATTTTCAGTTTTTAAACATGACAGGAAGAAAGGAAGCGACGACAAAGGAGCTGACCCCCAGATGACTCCTGCAAATCTACACACACACACAGCTATATATATATATATATATATAGCTGTGTATTCTCATAAATCAATAGAATTTAAAATCCTCCTTCTCACATATAAAGCCTCCATCCATGCATGCATCCATCCATCCATCCATCCATCCATCCATCCATCCATCCATCAACACATCCATCCATCCATCCATCCATCCATCCATCAACACATCCATCCATCCATCCATCCATCCATCCATCAACACATCCATCCATCCATCCATCCATCCATCAACACATCCATCCATCCATCCATCCATCCATCCATCCATCCATCCATCAACACATCCATCCATGCATGCATCCATCCATCCATCCATCCATCCATCCATCCATCCATCCATCAACACATCCATCCATCCATCAACACATCCATCCATCCATCCATCCATCCATCCATCCATCCATCCATCCATCAACACATCCATCCATCCATCCATCCATCCATCCATCAACACATCCATCCATCCATCCATCCATCCATCCATCCATCCATCAACACATCCATCCATCCATCCATCCATCCATCCATCCATCCATCCATCCATCCATCCATCCATCCATCCATCCATCCTCTTCTGTTCCTTGTAACTGAGTTATTTTTCTAAAGGTTATTCAAACCAAAGTTTGGTCTATTGGCTCTTTGTCTCCCTCTAGTGGAGAAGAAACATCCAGTTTTGCATTTCTTAGATTTCTGGCCTGCTTTTTTACACAGGTAAATAATTTTAGGACCCTGGGTGCAAAAAGGCAGCTTACAAACACATGATTTGGTTTCTTACATATTTTGTCTGTTATCTGCTCACATGTTATCTACCCAGAATCCCTCATTTTTAGTCCCCTGTTCCTTAATCAAGGCTTTGAAATGGATATTTGGAGAATCCATGGAGAAAATCAAGGCCATAGTAGGAAAGTCATCAGCAGATGCATCACATTTAAGGACCTCCATCAACACTGATGGGTAACCACTGAGATAATAATTATGTTTGATTACCGAGATGTTCTTCATAATTTTGTGTTAATGTTTTTATTTGGCAACGTTTACAGAAGAGATTGACAGAAATGCTGCAAGTAACATTCCTGCCTAATTATAGAGCATCATCCACCTCAGAACGCCTCAGATTTGATACGCCAACGGTCTGCATGGTGAGGTTTGCCTCATGTTATGATGCAGCAGCTGGATTGTGGATCGCAGGTATCAAACTGTGGCAGCATCTGGTTACAAACACTCATATTTCAGCACTTTTGGGGGAATTTGACATCGTAGAAATGAGTTTGCTGTCCAGTTTGCTGTGGATGTGAATGATCAAATCCACATGAAGGAAAATAGTCATTTTTAGCCAGATGTTCTGAGGTAAGCAGGGAAAAAAAACATCTGCTTCAAAATTAAACTCAGCAAGATCAGTAAGATAGAACCCTTCTGAGACAGAGTTGTTTTAGAATGAAGACAAAGTAAAATTATAACTAAGGAAGAGGAGCCTGATCATTTTATAGCAGAAACATCCAGCCAGAAACATAAAATCTAATCTAACTAAGAAGTCGTTTATGGCAGAAATGACATTTTATTAGTCTTATTGTTTGGCAAACAGAAACAGCGTTTCAGAGGATTCTGTGTGGGATGTCGAGCTAGATATGCAAAATAAATCCCTCTATGTGAAATACAAATCTGTTTTACCAACGTTAAAAGAAAAAAAAATGTTTTTTAATGTCCTCTATAAACAGACCATAACTGGGCTGCAGAGAAAGCGACTGGAATGTTTCTCAGAGGTTGAAAATCTTTTTTTAATGTCATTTTTTTTCCCATTTGGGAACAAAGGTCTAAATGTGTGGAGATGCTAGAAATTTTCCACCTTAAATTATGATTAAACTGCTTGGTTTTGTGTATAATAATTATCAGCATACCTGACAAGGCTTACAATAAAAAAAAAGTCATGTTTTTAAGCTTCTTTAATTGTAAATAAAAAGTTTCCCTATCATCAGTTTAAATCATGCAGTTCACTAAAGCAGCAGCAGAGGGCAGTGCAGCATTAGTACCTTTGTCTTTTTCTGTTTCTAAGTAACTTGAAACCACTGATCATAATTCACTGGATTGCTGATCGCCCGTTGGTAATACAGGCTTGAATGGAAGCCACCGGCCGCCATATTGGTACTCCCTAGTTAGACTGGTCGTAATGTAAACAATCTGTGTGTTACAGCATGGTGGACAGCGAATTACTTTCTATGTCCTCTACTTTCTATTTTCTAACTCAGTCAATGTCTTCCAGTCAGTCTGAGACAGCCAGACTAATGTTAGTCTGCAGACTAAACTATAGGATCCATCGGCTATACAGGTGCTGGTCATAAAATTAGAATATCATGAAAAAGTAGATTGATTTCAGTAATTCCATTTAAAAAGTGAAACTTGTATATTATATTCATACATTACATACAAACTCATATATTTCAGATGTTTATTTTGTTTAATTTTGATGATTACAAATGACAACAAATGAAAATCTCAAATTCATCATATCAGAAAATTAGAATATTACTGAAGACCAATAAAAACAAAGGATTTATAGAAATGTTGGCCAACTGAAAAGTATGAACATGAAAAGTATGAGCATGTACAGCACTCAGTATTTAGTTGGGCCTCCTTTGGCCTGTATTACTGCAGCAATGCGGCGTGGCATGGAGTCGATCAGTCTGTGGCACTGCTCAGGTGTTATGATAGCCCAGGTTGCTCTAATAGTGGCTTTTAGCTCTTCTGAATTGTTGGGTCTGGTGTATTGCATCTTCTTCTTCACAATACCCCATAGATTTTCTATGGGGTTAAGGTCAGGAGAGTTTGCTGGCCAATTAAGAACAGGGATACCATGGTCCTTCAACCAGGTACTGGTAGCTTTGGCACTGTGTGCAGGTGCCAAGTCCTGTTGGAAAATGAAATCTGCATCTCCAAAAAGTTGGTCAGCTGCAGGAAGCATGAAGTGCTCTAAAACTTCCTGGTATGTGGCTGCGTTGACCCTGGACCTCAGAAAACACAATGGACCAACACCAGCAGATGACATGGCACCCCAAACCATCACTGACTGTGGAAACTTTACACTGGACTTCAAGCAACGTGGATGAAGTGCCTCTCTTCTTTTCCTCCAGACTCTGGGACCTTGATTTCCAAAGGAAATGCAAAATTTACTTTCATCAGAGAACATGACTTTGGACCACTCACCAGCAGTCCAGTCCTGTTTCTCTTTAGCCCAGGCAAGACGCTTCTGACGCTGTCTGTGGTTCAAGAGTGGCTTGACACAAGGAATGCGACAGCAGAAACCCATGTCTTTCATACGTCTGTGTGTGGTGGTTCTTGAAGCACTCACTCCAGCTGCAGTCCACTCTTTGTGAATCTCCCCCACATTTTTGAATGGGTTTTGTTTCACAATCCTCTCCAGGGTGCGGTTATCTCTCTTGCTTGTACACTTTTTTCGACCACATCTTTTCCTTCCCTTCGCCTCTCTATTAATGTGCTTGGACACTGAGCTCTGTGAACAGCCAGCCTCTTTAGCGATGACCTTTTGTGTCTTGCCCTCCTTGTGCAAGGTGTCGATGGTCGTCTTTTGGACAACTGTCAAGTCAGCAGTCTTCCCCATGATTGTGTAGCCTATAGAACTAGACTGAAAGACCATTTAAAGGCTTTTGCAGGTGGTTTGAGTTAATTAGCTGATTAGAGTGTGGCACCAGGGGCCATCAATTATGAACCTTTTCACAATATTCTAATTTTCTGATATGATGAATTTGAGATTTTCATTTGTTGTCATTTGTAATCATCAAAATTAAACAAAATAAACATCTGAAATATATGAGTTTGTATGTAATGTATGAATATAATATACAAGTTTCACTTTTTAAATGGAATTACTGAAATCAATCTACTTTTTCATGATATTCTAATTTTATGACCAGCACCTGTAGATGGATTTATTGCTTAGTTCATCCACTGACTGGGAAATGACCTGAGGAACGTCTTCCTGCAGACAGAAAACTGCTGGTTTTAGCAGCCAGATGCTGCACAGGGAGGGATTTTTACTGCGTCTCGGTGGGAATGGGGAGTACCAATATGGTGGACGGTTGCTTCGCTTTTTTCGGGCAATCAGCATCCATTGAATAAATAGCGATCAGAGTTTGAGACGCTGCTGCTGCGGTGATATGATCTATGGGATTAAAGCCTGGGGAAAAAATCGCCTGTTGATATTTTTAGGGCGGGACTAAACTCTGTTCTGATGCCACATGGGGCCCCGCAGGGCCTGGTTCTTGGCCCCTCTGCTACTTTCCTCATATCTCTGTTTTCAGAAAACATAAGATGGCTATTTAGTGAAACAATCCTTTGTTTTATTAAAGAGGAAGATCACAGCTGAATGTAAGGTTTAAAAACCTATGAGGAATAAAACCTGAAGGTATGAACTTTAAATGTTTTAAGGATTTTTAAAAGAAAAAAAAAAGAGGCTAGAAATTCACTTTTGAATTTTTAATCAAAAGGTTTCCATAACATTAAAGCACACGAGGAAAACTGTGTTCACTTACAAAAGAGCTGCTTGATCTAATGTGGCGGTAACAATGAACACAGGCGTCCAAAAATAAGCCTGAAAAGAAATCCCTCCCACAGAGAAACCCTTTCTACCCCCCCCCCCAGGTAGGTATTAAAATAAAGCCTCGTATTTCCCAGCTGACTTGGAAGTTCTCCAAAAACATTTGGTACCTCACAACTACAAACTACACACTCCACTAAACAGGTAGTGATTTCTCTGTACACCGTCTGGAAGCTTCCCTTCCTATCTAACCCACAGCCGTTCCCAGAGGAAAGGTCAGAGGTCATCAGGTGAACCCCAGAGCTCAGGGCTTGGCGTCGCTGCTCGTCATGAGAACTGGATCTGCTGTACAGTGGGAATCTGAAATGGAAAGTTTAGAACAATCAGAACATTTTCAGAATCTGTGATTTTGATGATGAAAAGGATCAGAACTCATTTAGAAAGTCCAATTTATAAAGCAGCGATAAACCATCTGACCTGTAATGAACCAATATCACTGTTTTATTGTGTTAGAAAAAAAGGATTTGGTATGAACAGGTTTCTAGAATTTTAGCTTCTCTTCATTGGCTTCCTGTTAAAGGAATAGTACACCCAAAACATGATTAGCCTTCATTTTCTACTCACCCCCATGCTGAACAACACCCTGGAGTACTTTTTTGATATCTCAAATGCATCTGGAGATCTGGGAGGCTTCTTGCTGTCTGCTGACATTCAAATAATGGAGGTCTATGGCGCCCGAGGCAGAAAGGTCCATAAAAGTCCACAAAAAACGTGTCAATATTCCTCCATACTGCTCGTCCAATGTATTCCAAGTGTCCTGAGTGGGTAGCGTCCAGAATTTACTCGAAACGAAGTCATTTAGAATGTTTTTAGAGCATAAACAGTAGTGTATAGGATTTCCTCAAAGCGCGTTCACGAGTCTACGGAAACCGCGGCAGACCAAACCAGATGAAAGTGCGCATTCAGCGTCTGCTCTGCCAATAATGCAAGCGTAGAAGAAGAAATGTGCTGTTTACCTGTGCAAAGAAAGAAACAACGAAAGAAAAATGTCTGAGGACTTCAGTGTTGAGGAAGAGCATGAGTTCTTTGCCGAGCTGAATGCGCTGGTTTGGTCTGCCGCGGTTTCCGTAGACTCGTGAACGCACTTTTAGGAAATCCTATACACTACTGTTTATGCTCTAAAAACATTCTAAATGACTTCGTTTCGAGTAAATTCTGGACGCTACCCACTCAGGACACTTGGAATACATTGGACGAGCAGTATGGAGGAATATTGACACGTTTTTTGTGGACTTTTATGGACCTTTCTGCCTCGGGCGCCATAGACCTCCATTATTTGAATGTCAGCAGACAGCAAGAAGCCTCCCAGATCTCCAGATGCATTTGAGATATCAAAAAAGTACTCCAGAGTGTTGTTCAGCATGGGGGTGAGTAGAAAATGAAGGCTAATCATGTTTTGGGTGTACTATTCCTTTAAGGCTAGGCTTAAAACTTTCCTTTTTGATAAAGCTTCTAGTTAGAGTGGCTCAGGTTATCCTGAGCTATCTCTATAGTTCTGCTGCTATAGGCTTAGACTGCTGGAGGACATAGGGACCCCTTTTTCATCATTCTGCTTCATTCTATCTCTTTTCTCCCACTCTGCTGGTTTAGACTCAGAAACCAGGGTGTTTGTGTCGCAGTTAACGCAGATATGCCCCGCCCCCATCCGCTGCACCTCTCTAAAATTGTAGGTGACCGCAGACAGGAGGCCTCTGATTGGTCAAATCTACATCCACTCTACACTATCCGTATTTCCTATTTGGTTCCTTACTGGCTTGTTTTGTTTTTATAACCTCCATTGTGGAAGATGAAGCAGCATGTTCCCACTTCAATCCACATTCCTACTCTGGCTTACGATGTAGGAGAGTTTTCTACATGACCTGTACCTGTTGATATGAGGTGGTGTAAACCATGACGTTCTGCTGCTGGCCGTCTGCTGTGATGATTCCAGCTGGAAGCTGATTCGCTGAGAGAGAAAAAACAAAACTTTAGAGGGAGGAAAGATTCCAACTTTTCAGCCGTTTTCCTGTCAGAGCCGACTTACTGAAGCTGTCGTCTGTGAGTTCTTCGCCCAGACTCTCCCCCACACTCACCCCCGACATCCCCTTCTCCCCCTTCATGGCCTGAGAAACAGTCAAACATTGGTTAGCAGCCGGTGCAGTAGAGCGGAGTTAAAATCCGAGCGGGGAAAGCGTCCTCACCTCTCTGAACTTCTGCAGGTAGAGCTTCAGCGGATCCACGTACATGTCGAAGCCCAGCGTGGACATGGCGAACAGGATGTCCTCCCCGTTGATGGTCTTCCTCTTCTCTTGGTGGCAGCGCTCGCTGGCTTCAGACGTGATGAAGCTGATGAACTCGCTCACACACTCCTGCACACACTCTTTGGCGTCTTTGGCGATCTGTGGGCGGAAAAAGAAACGATGGGGTTTGTTAGGGTTCTTCATTTATTCAATAACTGTAAAGTGCATGAAATTAATTTCTAAAACAGCTCGAACATTTATTTAATCCGAGTTTTTATTCTTTAATTAAGCTAATAGCAGTTTCAGTTAAACAAAAGATTCTTCCTGCTTAAAAACCACTGAAAAGGTTCGGACAGTTTTTTTCTGGATTGGGATCGATTACAGCTTCAGTTTAGATTTATTTGTCAGGGTCAGCGTACATTAATAAAGCACCAGAATTAGCCAAAAGGCTATTTTTCATCTGTTGTCCCCGGACAGATTTTAAAATCATCTAACCTCTTAACATCCACCTCATTTTGGGAAATCCTTGCCTATTTTGCACACCCAAATGGAAAAGCAAATAACTAAGGAACTGTAAGCCCAAATTAAATTTGCAATACATTATTTGAAAGCTAACACCCTCTAGTTTCCGAATATATAGATTAAAATCGGGTGAGTAGAACACAGACCAAGCTGCATCAGTTCAAACATGACTCAAAGTTGTTGTTTTTTATTCTTAGAAATGATGTCTTTTTTGAACAGCAGTAATAAAGACATTCTTCAGAAAAAGCAGGTTCTATTGTATTAAATCTGTTCTACATCATGTTGACCACAAATGCAGAACATTTCAGACCTCTAGCTAAAACAGTTCCAGAGCTGTGGGGTTTAAAACTTATGTCAGCTTGGAGCGGCGCTCAATGGCTCCCCCTGCTGGTGTCTGTGTTTCTCTCTAACACAAGCCTGTAATGCGGTACTCCTTTAAATAAACCACACATGTGAAACCTTATTTCATTGGCTACAAAGCCCAACATCTCACATGGTCTTAACCAATAACAACAGAGATTAAAACGTCAATCATATCGCGCATCGATGGCTGACAGGAAGTGAACCGTAGGTGAGATTTCATGGACTATATCTCGCTCAAATCGCGTCATAAAAATATGCAGACACTTGTGTCTTGTAGATAAGAAGGCGATGTAAAGAACAACACCAAACATTGCAGGCTAACAACCCAGGAAATAAGTATTAGGAGTAAATATTAGCAAGATGCTAAACATTAGCTATGACAAGCTAACCTTTCTGATGTCAACAACCGGACGTTATAGGTGATTTTCTCATCATGGAATATTTTTATTAATAATAAGCTGGATTACGTTTAATCTGTGGACCCTTATGGATGAATTGAGTATAAATAATTGAAGATTGGATTTATAAAACTGCTTCTGGACGCCTTCTAAGGTATGTAGCCGTGGCTGCTTTGGTTGTTTACATTTTGACATGCTGCTATATCTGTTTTAACTATGCTTTGGTGCTCGCTGTGTCCATAAAATGATGCTGGTGCTTGAATTTAGGAGAATCTAAGCTTTCCAATGATGTCTAACATGTTTATATGGGAATTTAATGCATTCTGAGTTATTACCCCAGTTAACGTCCACCGGGTCGCCCGGTTGGCTTAGAGAGACTAAACCGAACAACACAACAGGAAGAATTACAGTGATAAAACGAAATAAAAACAGCGAGAACTCTTAAAAACTTGTTTAAAAATACAGAAATAATGTTCGCTTGACTACGGATTTTAGCTTAATAAAATAGAAGAAAACCTTCAAATAAAAAAACAGACAATTAAAGCTTTTTTTTGTCAGTTTCCTTTAAATTAAAATAAAAGCAGAACAAAGAATTAGTTTTGGTCCATAAAGGGATCCGTATTTCCAGATATTCTCCCTTTATCAGAATCTAAATCTAACAATCAGCAGGTTTCTCCTTCTCTCCCCCCTCACCAACCTTTCCAGTCTGAGGAACGGCGTTCTTCATGATCCGAGCCACGTTGGCGATGGGGAGGTAGATGTCCTGCTCCCTGTAGTTCTCCTTGGTGCCGCCGTCTTCATGGTCGTTCATGTTCTCCTCTCCATCGTCTGAAAAGCAGAAAATAAACCCAGAATAAATGAGCTGCCTTTGATTAAGTAGCCTAGAGAATGAAAAGTCTGGTTTTCTTCCTTCGTACCATCCTGGGGTTGGAGGACGTAATGACCAGGAGACATGTATTCTCCTGTGATGCCCAGCTGGGAGGCGTCTGTGGTTGAACCGTCTCCGTCCATCTAAAAATAAAAACAACATCATTACTTTCACACATTTATCATTTATACATGGAATTAATTATTAGCTTGTCTGTGTAGCTTAAAAAAAAAAAAACTTTTTGTGTACAATCCTGAAAGTCCTGCAGCAACCAAATCTTTTTCAGCATCTAATTAAAACTAAAATATATTTTAAATAAAATCAAAAGCAGTAAATAACATAATTTGCCAATGAATTTAAATAATTTACATTTAAAATATGAAAATAAAATTCAATAATAGTGATGGGTAATGAAGCATCTTGAAGCCAAACTGCATTGATTCTGTATCACAGAACACTGACACCTGCTGGACATTTACAGACACTACAGGCAGCTGATTGGACAGACTAAACTGAATTGATTTGATGACCTAATAGAATATCATTTAAATTACTGTAAGTTATATTTAATTATTTCATATCTATGTTGAAATTGAAAATATGTTTGCTATTTTTAGATGCAGCCAATAAATAACGTAAACATATAATGTGAGAATTTAGGGGGAAATGTGAATGAGGATGCTGTAGGATGAGTATTTTATATCATAATTTTAACACAATAAGCGCAGTAAAAACAGTAAATAATTTAAGAGTCAATTTGAAATTAGGAAAAGATGACACGACGAGAAAATTAAAATAAAAACTCAAAGGCTGAAACGTTCCTGTTCCTTTTAGGCTCCAAAATTTTGTTTTAACCGCAAAAGATGAGACATTTTTTTTTTTTTTTTAGCAGCTGTACCATGCTGACAGATATGCTTTTAAACCCAGTTTAATGAGTAAGTCAGTTAGAAACAACTCCTGGATCGGTCACATGACTTCCTGGACGCGCTAGCTCTATGGGCTCCACGCACGCACCGGCCTTAACGGACCATCACTAATCAATCATCTTTTTCAAGTGACTGATTTACTTTAATTGTAAGAGTCCTGCTTCTGATTTACCTGCTCAAATTAATGGCAAATACAGTGATTTGAAGAAGTGTTTTGTTGTTTAAAGTAATACTGAAACAATCGATTATTTGTTTGCTCGTCAGAACTAAACTGGTACAAGCATCTAAAATGAAGCAGCACGCGCGTTTTTGCTGCTATAGGTGTGAACGTAGCATAACAGTGGCTAGCTTCCAGCCATGGCGTCCTGCACAAGCATTGGGGGCGATTTGTTCATGGGTCAGGGTACGCGCACAGGGGGAAGGGACAAGCAAACGACCATGATTGACGTGTCAGGAAACAATAGTGGACCACGGACCATCTTTTGTGATTGGTTGGAGTTATTAATTGATTTTTCCCTGTAGCGGGGACGATTTATTTTAGTTTCCATTCCTGCTAAGCAGCTGTAGGGACATCTTTAAGCCACATGGTAAGAATGTGTCAGGAAAGATCTTCTACTGCACCTTTAAATGGCAGAAAAAGCCTTAAATGTTTTTTCTTTACAAACAATCCTTACCAAAGATTTTATTATACACTTCAATTATTAACAATTTCAAAGGAACTTAAATGAAATAATCAAACAAAAATTAAAAAAACAAGAAAAACAATAGCAAAATAATCCCTGTAGTTCTGCTCTCCACCAGTAGGTGGTGACGTGTTCACATGAAGCTTCATGAACTGAAGATTGTTGAAGCACTTTGGCTCATCTCACCATCATCTACTATTAGATCATATAACCTTCAGCAAACTGATCTTAAACATTCATAAAGGAAAAATAAACCTGAAAGAAGCTTCTTCAAACAATTCATTTTTACTTTTATTTTAAATGGACTTTAAGGAGCAGATGTAGATAATTGGGTCCAACGCATCAATTCAAAATTATCTTAAGTGTTAAAATCCAGACTTGCCTGTTTATCAAGTGATTCTCATTAAAACCAGGAACACATTGTAAAAAAACAACATCATGTTGAGGTGTTTTGTGTTTTAATTCAAAGAGTAAACATTTATTCTAATAAAACTCCCAAACATGAAGCACCGACAATAAAAATGAGATTAGCTAGCTTATCAAAGATAAGCAGTGCATTTTCTAAGGAAAGTTCAGTTTATCTGAAACGTACAGAAGAGGATTAGAGCCACTGAAAAAAAAAAAAAAGTTAACGTCGATTTTTTAATTTCATTTCAGTATAATATGAGAAAAAAGTCAGAATTCTGACTTTAATCCCAGAATTATGACCTTTATCCCAAAATTCAGACTTCAATCTCAAAATTCTGACTTTAATCTCAAAATGTTGACTTTTTTTTCAGAATTATAACTTTAATCTCAAAATTTTGACTTTTTTCAGAATTATAACTTTAATCTCAAAATTTTGACTTTTTTCAGAATTATGACTTTAATCTCAAAATTTTGACTTTTTTTTTTCAGAATTATGACTTTAATCTCAAAATGTTGACTTTTTTTTCAGAATTATAACTTTAATCTCAAAATTTTGACTTTTTTCAGAATTATAACTTTAATCTCAAAATTTTGACTTTTTTCAGAATTATGACTTTAATCTCAAAATTTTGACTTTTTTCAGAATTATGACTTTAATCTCAAAATTTTGACTTTTTTCAGAATTATAACTTTAATCTCAAAATTTTGACTTTTTTCAGAATTATGACTTTAATCTCAAAATTTTGACTTTTTTCAGAATTATGACTTTAATCTCAAAATGTTGACTTTTTTTTCAGAATTATGACTTTAATCTCAAAATTTTGACTTTTTTCAGAATTATAACTTTAATCTCAAAATTTTGACTTTTTTTCAGAATTCTGACCTTTAGCTCGTAATTCAGACTTCGCTTTAATCTCAAAATTATGACTTTAATCTCAAAAGTCTGACTTTTTTCTCAGAATTCTGACTTCGCTTTAATCTCAAAATTTTGACATTTATTTAGAATTATGATCTTTATCTCAGAATTCTGACAGCTAACAAACATGTTAGCATCAAGCTGTAGCCATGTCTGTTTTAGAGACTAGCTTACATGTTTTAATCACCTTCTGAACTTCCATTAATCAAACAGCATCAACAGGGATCCTCAGGGACGGAAAAAGTCGCCTAATCCCATTATTTTCCACCAATGTGTTCCTGTTCCTCCCAAACTACTCACATCTCTGTCAGTGAAGCTGTGTGCTCCACATCTCTGCCTTCATGATGCCCATCTACATTAAGATCCTCAATTCTGAGATTAAAGTCAGAATTCTGACTTTTTTCATATTACACTGAAATAAAATTTAAAAAGCAGTTAACTTTTTTTTAGTGGCCCTAATCCTCTTCCGTAGAAAGTTTTCAATTTGTCACAGAATTAAAAAGCTGTGATGGTGTTTGTGTTCTGAGTGTGAGCTAGCAGCTGTTAGCCTAGCAGCTGTTAGCCTAGCAGGGGGATTCTGGTGTATTTAGCTAAAGTTAACCCTCATCCCCCCTGAACTCCACCGCTTTACTAGGTTTAAAGAAGCGGCGGTATTCCTCCAGTTTTTACCTCCGGAAGGTAAATTATTCAGGCACATGGTTTCCTGCGTAAACTCCTATTTTACATCCAGCTGAAGCCGCGCTGCTTCGGCCTGCTCTTTGTCGCGCTGAGCGCAGAAACAGGCCGCAACGATCAACGCTAATTATTTAAGTTTAAGCAGGCAGAGAGTTCCCGATGAGCCGCTTTCAATCAGTCAGACAACAAATGAACCAGGCTGCCAGTGACGGACATTCCATTCGAGCTAACAAGCGATCGGTTAGCAATCATTGGCCGGAGCCAGGGACAAACCTGCAATGAAGCCCTGGTTGGTTACCTTCCTCAAACGGCTGTTTGGTTGGACAGAAAATGGCTGCGAAACGACCAGTCCCTGCGCGGAGCCGTGGCTGCGCTGCCGCCGCTCACCACCAGGGGGCCGTGATGCGTTCAGGGACTTCTGGTAAAATATGATTTTAGATAACTTAGACGTGGATGCTTTGGTTTAAATAAAAAAAATATATATATATATATATATCCTAGAAGGAAGCTGTTGAAGAAAACAAATAAGTTTATGTCTTTTTTCACCCCACTGTGAGTAAAACGGTACATTAAAACGAGAGTGAAGATGCTCACCATGTCTTTTTTCCTGTTCATCCGTGTTTTGTTTTTTTTGATTCCCACTTTTAAAATGACCAATAAATCATCTTATTAGGTTTGTAGACCTTGGAACATTATGCCGATAGGTAACGTGTAAGGGAAAATGAAACAAAAAAAAGTTCTCAACATATACAATTAAATATAAAGTTTGTATCACTAGATGGCGCCATTATATTATAAAAGTTTGACTTTTTAATACCAGACTTCAATGGCTAAGCATTTCTTATTCAGTTCTATTCAGTTTATTTCTAAAGCGCCAACTCACAACACAAGGCACTTTACAGTTCACTTTCCATTTCACCAGATCATCCAGTCAGATAGATTCAAAGTTTTCTTTCTAAGGAAAACCAGCTGATTGCATCGACTCATTGACTCTTCAGCAATCCCTCACACTAAGCATGCTTGTAGCGACAGTGGAGAGGAAAAACTCCCTTTGAACAGGAAGAAACCTCCAGCAGAACCAGGCTCAGTGTGAGCGGCCATCTGCTGAGGCCCACTGGGGTTCAAGGAGACAGAAGCAGACATAGAAAAAGAAGCATAGATAAAAAGACAACTGTCAACCAGCTCCACAGGCGGCCCCGTCCAGGCAACACACAGCCAGGCAGACGAGCTCCGAGCCAGCTCCCATGTCAGAGGATGAAGAGAGCACATCCAGTTAGTCACAGTCAGAGAAACAGGACTACACTGGAAAACAGGCCAAGCTCCAACATCTAGAAACAAAGGTGTTGATGGCAGCAGCACAGCTGATATTTCTCTCCAGGATGGAGTCACAGCCAAACAGGAACAGACCAGATGAAGCTACTATGAGAAAAAGCAGAGAGAGCAGAACGTTATAGATTGAACTAACAGATTCTGCAGAGTGGGAGAATAGAGATAGAATGAAGCAGAATGATGACAAAGGGGTCCCTATGTCCTCCAGCAGTCTAAGCCTATAGCAGCAGAACTATAGAGATAGCTCAGGATAACTGAGCCACTCTAACTAGAAGCTTTATCAAAAAGGAAAGTTTTAAGCCTAGCCTTAAAAGTAGACAGGGTGTCTGCCTCACGGACTAAAACTGGTAGTTGGTTCCACAGGAGAGGAGCCTGAGAACTAAAAGATCTGCCTCCCATTCTACTTTTAGAAATTCTAGGAACCACTAGTAAACCTGCAGATTGAGAGCGAAGTGCTCTGTTAGGAACATCAGGAGCAATCAGATCTCTGATATCAGATGGAGCTTTTAAGCCTTTTAAGGCTTTATATGTGAGAAGGAGGATTTTAAATAACACTTAAATTTACTGATATTAAATACAATTGTTGCATTTTAATAAATGGTTCAAAATGACAATAAATGTTGTCCAAATCTGTTGGTATTACCTCAGAGGAAAATTAACTGCTAATTAGCATTTTAAATCAGTTTTTTTTTTCTCAAACAACATATTAGCAGATATATAATTTTGCAAAGAAACTGTGTAAACATTTATAGAACCTTTCATGGTTAATCAAATACCTTATTTATGTACGTTTGATGTATTACTGTGAGGACCTCCTCATTTTCTGCTCGTTCTGTTCTGAGAGTGGAACTTTATTTTTAACCCCTTCCTGTTTGTGGATGCTTATATATTTCTATTGTTTTATTATTACTGACTGAAGTGAATACCTGGAGTGTCTTTGCACTAAGATCACATGACTGGACATTTACTCATCATCATTACAGGGCTGTGGTCTCTGCTGAGGCTAAACTCTGATGATTATCATATTAATGAGTTTTATGGTAATGGGACGATGTGGAAGATTAAACGAGATTAAAGGACAAACGCTAGAAACGTGGAGAAGGAGAACTGCTTAACCTGTTTAAATAATGAATTTCTCCCGTCTCAGTCACCGTGTGTCCCTCGTCTCAGGATGCCTGGGGCTGAGGGGAAAAGTGTTTATATCTGACCTCACTGACCCCTAGCCCCGCCCACAAGGGTCAGGGCCAGTGAGGTTTATTGTTCATCAATCATCTCCTTCACTGACTGTACTCTCAAACTCACACAACTTAAGCTTAAAAATGGCACAAAATTAGCTGGAAATGTTAGCATTCAGACGTTAGCATCCAGATCTTAGCATTCAGACTTTAGCATTCAGGAGTTAGCATCCAGACATTAGCATCCAGACATTAGCATTCAGACGTTAACATTCAGACATTAGCATCCAGACCTTAGCATTCAGACATTAGCATCCAGACATTAGCATTCAGATGCTAGCAGCCAGACCTTAGCATTCCGACTTTAGCATTCAGGAGTTAGCATCCTCACATTAGCATCCAGATATTAGCATTCAGACGTTAGCATTCAGACATAAGCATCCAGACGTTATCATTCAGACGCCAGCATTCAGACATTAGCATTCAGATGTTAGCATTCAGACGCCAGCATCCAGACATTAGCATTCAGACGTTAGCATTCAGACATAAGCATCCAGATGTTATCATTCAGACGCCAGCATCCAGACATTAGCATTCAGATGTTAGCATTCAGACATTTGCATCCTGACATTAGCATTCAGACGCTAGCAGCTAGACTTAAGCATTCAGACTTGAGCATCCAGACATTAGCATTCAGATGCTAGCAGCTAGACTTTAGCATTTAGACATCAGCATTCAGACGTCTGCTTTCACGTTAGCATCCAAATGATAACATTCAGATGTTATCATTCAGATGTTAGCATCCAGACTTTAGCATTCAGACATTAACATTTAGACATTAACATCCAGACAATAGCTTTCAGACATTATCATTCAGATGTTATCATCCAGACCTTAGACTTAGGCAGATTTATTTTGGCCTTTTTTATATATACCAGTGTATCTCAAAGTTCTCTGAGATAGGGCCAAGGATGAGGGAGGTCTGGTTGGTCTCCGTCTCCCGATACGCTCTCGCCTGTGTCCGACCTTTCAGACGTTTCAACATCTTTTTCTGAATCCCACATTGTAGCATGGCATAGACAATTCACGTTAGCAGTTTGAAGAACACCTGCTTGCTTCTGATGATTTCCTTTAGCTAACCAAGGAGTGTTTGCGTTCTATGACTCATCCAGTCACACTAGTTTTCACTAGATGTGGGTGGAGCCAATGATCTGCATTGGATGGAGCACATGACGGGAAATAAAGATTTAGAAACATTAAACCGAAGCCAAGAGTAACGAGTAATGTTTGATTTAAAGATGTAAGGAATAGAAAGTACAGATACTGGTGTGAAAATGTAATGAGTAGAAATCAGAAGTAGAAAGAAAAATAAGTAATGGAGTAAAGTATAGATGCCTAAAAGGTGTACTTAAGTACAGTAACAAAGTATTTGTACGTTACTTGACACCTCTGTACTACATAACGCAATGGTTTCTGATTCTATATATTAATTTGGCTTAAAATTAGTTTCTTAGAAAATGCAAATAGTTTAGAGCAGAGATCACGGATTAGCTGATCCAGACCCAACCTGATATAAAACATTTATAAATTACCACATGTTGTCTGATGGCAGTGTCTAACTTCACTTGCTCCTCTTCTCCTGTTAATACGGTAAAGCCCTGGGGAGCGTCCGGCTCCAGGCTGCACGTGATCCAAATGAGCCAATGAGCTGTCAGTCTGGGTTGCTGCTGCTGCTACTTTTAGACACAGCAGGCAAACCTGTGGCAAGCCGGGCGATGGGAAAGAAGGAGAAGACCATGAGAAAAAGAGAGCAGAGAAAGTGTGGACTGCTGGAAGAACTGCGGTGAACTGGTGAAAGAAAAGTGAAATGGCGTGCTCAAAGATGACCCTGCACATTTAGAGGATGTTTGGCTCAACCTGCTGCTGTGAAGCAGGATTCTCCACCATGAACAGAATCAACAATAAATCTGGATCCAGGCTCAAAATGAGCTCCTTGATATGTGCTTGAGAATGGCTTAGTCTCCGGTTAAACCCAGGTTTAAAGCCTTGCAGGGCAGCCTAAAGCCCACTGCCAACATTAAGACAGAAAAAAGAAGAAAATAACAAACCATCAGTTCAGGGGTTTGAGAAAATAGGGGAATCAGGAAATTGTCTACATAACAAACTGAACGAATTTTGTTCTCTTCTTCAAAAATCCTTTAGATTTTAAAATGAAAAAATAAAATGCATATTTAAAAATTCAATGACGCAAAAACACCTGCATTTTATTTCAGTGTTAAATTTTGTTTAAAGTAACAGTTTATATTAAAAAATGTCTACTGACCTTTACTGGTTGATGATTTTCTTTATTCCCCGCTGATTTTTAATTGGTGACTCCTGGTTTAGATCCTTTCATTTTGAAGTTGTGATCGTTAAAATTTATTATTATTTCCAGCATGACAACAGTAGGTGTTATTAGCTCAGAGAAATTCATGCAGATTACTCCTAGGAAACAATTAAAATACCACAACAGACACGATTATGATTGTGAAACAATATAATGGTTTGAATTTGTTGTGACAGAATCCATCCCGTTCCACTCCTGCATCAAGCTTTTGAGACCAACACAGGACTTTGCTGCCCAGCTGCTCTGTGATGGTTTAAAGACACAAAGCGAAGGGTGCTGCGTTCACAGCCGAGCCAAAAACAAGATGCAGCTTCTAATCAGTGAGTTCAGCTCCTAGAGCTGACAATATGTGATGCTGCCATTTGTTATTAGGGGCAGAGGGGATTTTAGAATTAGAAAGGTTTAAATGTCATTAACTGTCCATCAAGCGGTGCCAGATCAGCGAGTAATTTCTTCCTCCTTCAACCATACTCTTCCTCAGCCTTTATCTCTGCTCTAAATCCCGC